TTACCCCATATGTAACTGTGTTGATGTTTATCGCACTGCTTTGCTTTATCTTGGCCAGGTCGCAGTTGTAAATAAGAACTTGTTCTCAACTGGCTTACCTGGTTAAATAAAACAATTAAATAAAATAGCCAGACGTCTCTTAAACAGCTCAAATGGATCAACCCCCTCCCTATCTTTGCATCGTCTCAAACACTTCAAGATCAACTACTGGAGTCGGGAGTTGCCGTGGTGGGTTTACAGTAGTAGCTATGGTGGGTTTACAGTAGTAGCCATGGTGGGTTTACAGTAGTAGCCATGGTGGGTTTACAGTAGTAGCCATGGTGGGTTTACAGTAGTAGCCATGGTGGGTTTACAGTAGTAGCCATGGTGGGTTTACAGTAGTAGCTATGGTGGGTTTACAGGAATAGCTACGGTGGGGTTTAACTCCTTTCCATACAGTCCCGTCTCCCTCGCCTGGGTATCTCCCACCCAAAGCTTGTGTTCTGTCCTCGCTCATTTTCCCAGCATGCCTGTAGCACCTCAATCGTATTATGAGACACCCCATGTCCCTATATATCAGGGCTGCCCAACCCTCTTCCTGGACATCTACTGTCCTGTAGGTTTTCAGTCCAACCCTAATTTAACACACCTGATTCTACTTATTAGCTGTTCAACAAGACCTTAACTAGCTGAATCAGATATGCTAAATTAGGGTTGGACTGAAAACCTACAGGACAGTAGATCTCCAGGAAGAGGGTTGGGCAGCCCTGCTATAGATTGATCCAATAATTGATAGCCAGCTGCTGTCTCCTAATCTGCAATGGCATCTCCCCCATCTTCACCTGTAGTTTTTGCACAATCATTCTAAAATCTCATAAGAAATTAGGTGTTTGTCTTACAGTAACATTATGCTATTATATGTGGTTCTGTTATGTAGAATAGTATCATTGTGATCTTCCAGACATTGATTCAGCTTTGATCTAACTTTATTAAACGAGCACCATTCACCAGAGTAGCCTGTTCTCTACAAGTAGAGCAGAGACTGTACATAAAGTAGAGAATGCCACAATTGCGCAGAAGCGTCGGGACCTTTAGCTGTTGGAAAGAGGGGTCCAGAAAAATCGGATCCAGGGAAGAGGGTTCCAGAAATATTAGATCTGCAGCAATTCCGTAAGCTAAACGGAGTGGCGAATGGTGCTTGTTTAATAAAGTTAGATCAAAGCTGAAGCAATGTCTGCAAGATCACATAATTATGGTATTGTACAGTGGGGAAAAAAAGTATTTAGTCAGCCACCAATTGTGCAAGTTCTCACACTTAAAAAGATGAGAGGCCTGTAATTTTCATAATAGGTACACGTCAACTATGACAGACAAAATTAGGAGAAAAAATCCAGAAAATCACATTGTAGGATTTTTTATGAATTTATTTGCAAATTATGGTGGAAAATAAGTATTTGGTCACCTACAAACAAGCAAGATTTCTGGCTCTCACAGACCTGTAACTTCTTCTTTAAGAGGCTCCTCTGTCCTCCACTCGTTACCTGTATTAATGGCACCTGTTTGAACTTGTTATCAGTATAAAAGACACCTGTCCACAACCTCAAACAGTCACACTCCAAACTCCACTATGGCCAAGACCAAAGAGCTGTCAAAGGACACCAGAAACAAAATTGTAGACCTGCAATAGGTAAGCAGCTTGGGTTGAAGAAATCAACTGTGGGAGCAATTATTAGGAAATGGAAGACATACAAGACCACTGATAATCTCCCTCGATCTGGGGCTCCACGCAAGATCTCACCCCGTGGGGTCAAAATGATCACAAGAACGGTGAGCAGAAATCCCAGAACCACACGGGGGGACCTAGTGAATGACCTGCAGAGAGCTGGGACCAAAGTAACAAAGCCTACCATCAGTAACACACTACGCCGCCAGGGACTCAAATCCTGCAGTGCCAGACGTGTCCCCCTGCTTATGCCAGTACATGTCCAGGCCCGTCTGAAGTTTGCTAGAGTGCATTTGGATGATCCAGAAGAGGATTGGGAGAATGTCATATGGTCAGATGAAACCAAAATAGAACTTTTTGGTAAAAACTCAACTCGTCGTGTTTGGAGGACAAAGAATGCTGAGTTGCATCCAAAGAACACCATACCTACTGTGAAGCATGGGGGTGGAAACATCATGCTTTGGGGCTGTTTTTCTGCAAAGGGACCAGGACGACTGATCCGTGTAAAGGAAAGAATGAATGGGGCCATGTATCGTGAGATTTTGAGTGAAAACCTCCTTCCATCAGCAAGGGCATTGAAGATGAAACGTGGCTGGGTCTTTCAGCATGACAATGATCCCAAACACACCGCCCGGGCAACGAAGGAGTGGCTTCGTAAGAAGAATTTCAAGGTCCTGGAGTGGCCTAGCCAGTCTCCAGATCTCAACCCCATAGAAAATCTTTGGAGGGAGTTGAAAGTCCGTGTTGCCCAGCGACAGCCCCAAAACATCACTGCTCTAGAGGAGATCTGCATGGAGGAATGGGCCAAAATACCAGCAACAGTGTGTGAAAACCTTGTGAAGACTTACAGAAAACGTTTGACCTGTGTCATTGCCAACAAAGGGTATATAACAAAGTATTGAGAAACTTTTGTTATTGACCAAATACTTATTTTCCACCATAATTTGCAAATAAATTCATAAAAAATCCTACAATGTGATTTTCTGGATTTTTTTCCCTCATTTTGTCTGTCATAGTTGACGTGTACCTATGATGAAAATTACAGGCCTCTCTCATCTTTTTAAATGGGAGAACTTGCACAATTGGTGGCTGACTAAATACTTTTTTCCCCCAGTGTACATAACGGAACCGAATATAATTGTATAACGTTACTGTAAGACAAAAAACACCACCTCATTTATGAGATTTTAGGATGATTGTGCGAATGGTCGCATTTCTCTCCTGCCGCCAAAACTCAACAGCGTTGTGCCAGGGCGGCAGGTAGCTTAGTGGGTAAGAGCGTTGTGCCAGTAACCGAAAGGTCGCTGGTTCTAATCCCAGAGCCGACTAGGTCAAAAATCTGTCGATGTGCCCTTAAGCAAGGCACTTAACCCTAATTGCTCCTGTAAGTCGCTCTGGATAAGAGTGTCTGCTAAATGAAAAAAAAAATATATATATATATATATGTCCTTTGAAACAACACAGGTAGGCCTATGCTAGTTTGTTAACACCCTCTGCTCTAAAATTCACTCACTGTACATCATTCAAAACAACACTGTACATAACTCAAGAAGATCTAAATGCATTTCCATGAAACTGATTGAGATCACCATTTAATGGTTGGCATGATGAAGAATTATCACTCACGATTGACTGTGAGAAATGTGAAGGGAGGATGACCACAAAAATGCGTAAAGTAAAAGAAACGCGTGCAGAACGTGATTCAGATCTTCAGCTCTGAGGAAGAGGCTTCCAGAGGGGCGGGGCAAGACAGCGGCGGTTACCTTCGGAACCGCAGCTTCTGTCTATAAACAACATGGCTCAAAAACAAGTTATGAAGTGAACCATTTCTCGCCTTATGATTACTAGTATGTATCATTGGAGCAATTTTAAAATGTGAGAATCTTGAACAATACACGCTTTGAGTAGGCCAATTGATATTTCAATGAAGCCTGCAGAAACACCCTTCCCTGTCCAAAAGTAGACACGCTAAATCAACACAACTCTTAAGCTCCTAAACGGCCCTCGGGTCCCACCACCTGGTGAATGCCACGCCGATGTTTACCCTAGTTTTTCCGCGTTTTTGATCTAAAACTGGCTTCCAGATGCTCCGTTTCCTTTTCTTGGCTGGAACAGGAGACGCCGTCTAAGGGTCAAGGGCTAGTCGTCAATTAATAGGCTGTGCTGGACAAGAGGGCGCGCTCGTTTAGCAAGCGCGTGGGCGGCGTAATCACTCAAGCTGCAATTTAGGAGCCCCGCTCAAAATCGACATTGAGGCCGGTTATGATGGTTGTAGTCAAATATAAAACAACGGACGAGGTGGAAAAAAAACTAGGTGACTTGATGGTAGGATATGGTAGTTAGCTAGAATGACTGAAAGTTAATGCCTATACATTACCTGTCGAAGGAGAAAGCATGCGAGGCTTTTCCATGCTTGCAGTTCTCGCCACTGTGAAAAAACGCAACACCTATATTTACTCAAATCTGGCGAACGATGACGTCGGCTCAAAACAAAAGTGACTTTAAGTAAAGAACTTGGAGTAATGAGTAGGCTTATGTGTTTTGAAATGCAAAACAAGTGACTGCTTTTGATAAAATAAATGCTCTATCTGCTTTCCCAATGAAAATTCTGGCATATTTGATGGAAAATAGATTTTTCACTGTTTCCAGTGATGATCATGACACCATAGGGTACAGAAACATCATCATTTTAAAGGCAAAGTCACACATTTAACTTTGTGTATTAGTAAAAAATATAGAAAACCTCAAGGACGGGTGTCCCAGATACAGATTATGACTAGTCCTGCAATTGAAAGCATGTCCATTGAACTGCATTTTAGTCCAGGATTAGGCACAATTGGCCAAGCTTCGTCCGGGTTTCGCCGGTGTAGGCCGTCATTGTAAATAAGAATTTGTTCTTAACTGACTTGCCTAGATAAATAAAGGTTAGATAAAAATAAAGAATCTGGTTCCGGAACAGTTAAATGTTCAAAGGCAGAACATGAGGATAACAAATTCTAGTGCCAGGGTATGTTTCCTGCTCTTAGTCTTGAGTCTTATTCACTAGGAACGAATCAGAAGCAAACGGGCCAAAATGGGGAGATAGTACCTGAACTTGTTCAATAAACACTTGTTTTCATTTTCAGTTGCAAAACATTTGGCTACAGTGTGCACTAATGAATACAACCTTGGGTCTCTGTCCACCCAGCTCTCCCAACAGCAGTGCCTTCAACTAGTCTGTCCTGTAGGCATCTGCTAGTGACTCCCTCCTCTTCCTCTCCCTCTACCCCTCCCAGTCTTCTTCTCCTCCATTGGGTCAGTCACTCTCTCGCTGTCTTTCTTCTTCAGGATCATCCTTGCACTGGCGATTCCTCTTCCTCTGTTTCTCCTCCACTCTCTTTGCTCCCTTTCCTTCAGCCCACATCTCCCACTCAGTCCAGAAGGTTATCTCTACCTGATGCCGAGGCTTCCTCTGTCCCACCTCCCCTCCCTCCTGCCCAGTCCTGCCATCTGTTTCCCTCCTCTCCCCCTGTCCCCCAACTCCTGGTCCTTCATCAGGGTCCAGCCCTGAGTCTTGGCTGTGGTAGCGTCTGACGTGGTTCTTGAGGCTGACGTTGTGGTTGAAGCTCTTGTCGCAGCGCTGGCATTGGAAGGGCCTCTCCCCAGTGTGGACACGCAGGTGGGACTTCAGCTGGCTGGGCAAAGGCACGCTGGCAAACCTGGCACACAGGGAAGAGCAACATGGACTATGTAAATACAATACTCCTGATTTAAATAAAAACGTAAAGCTTTTTTATTTTTTACAGATTTATCCCGCTTCAAAATAGGAGTTACAAAAAGTAACTATTGCATACCTGGCACTTGAAGGGCTTGTCGTCACTATGGGACAGCTCGTGCCTCTTCAGGCGGTGACCTTTGGCGAATTCCTTGTAACATGTATGACAGATGTGTTTCTTGGACTTGTGCTCTCTGAGATGGCGATTCCGTATGAGGATGTTGTCAAACCTCATTGGGCACTCTGAGCAGCTGTAGCATCTGTGATTTTTGAATCTGTGGGTCTTCTCATGGGTCAGCTTGTCCGGCCGCGTCCTGAAGGATTGGAGGCAGAACTTACAGGGAAACTTAAGGTCCTGACGGTGTTGCCTCTGGTGACTCTTGAGGCCGAGTTCATTCACACAGCGCTTCCCACAGTCTGGACAGCGGACCATGAACTTGTGTTCACACTTACGGTGCTGCAGCCTGGTGGAGTACAGGATGCCACATTCAGGACAGAGGACCGTATGGAGTGTTTGAAATTTTGCTGGATGCTGGCAAGGTCACCAGAGCCCAGTTCTCCAGCGGCACCGCTGAACAACTCCTGATCCTGCTGGTCTCTCTGGGGTGATGATGAAGATGATCCATCAGATTCTTCAGCAGACACGTCCAAACCACTCTCTCCTGTAGGCTGCTGCAATTGCCTTCCTCCTCCTCCTCCGCTCCCCCCTCTCCCCCTGCCTCTCCCCCCTCTCCCCGTGCCTCTCCCCCTGCCTCTCAACCTACTACCCGTTGGTTTCTTCTCTTCTGGGTCAAAGTCAGAGTCACTCTCTATCAGTCCCTCTTCCTTCTCCTCCTCCTCTGGGTCAAATTCAGAGTCATTCTCTCTCTGTCCCTCTTCCTCATCTGTCTCTTCACCCTCCATCTCACACTCACCACCCTCCCCCTCACACCCATCTGCAGCCACTTGCTTCTTCTCTCCTTCTCTGTCTATCTGAGAGGTTTGGCTTTCAGAGTCCTCAGGCTCTATAGAGTATATTGTCACCTCAATAGAGGCCTGCTGCTCAGCACCATTCTCCTGTTGTTTACCTCCTAGGGACTTTCCCCTTCTCTCCTCTCCTCCCTCATTCTCCTGTGAGGACAGGCCATTCTCCTCCTGGCTTTGTGCACTGTCCGTCTCACTGTCCAACACCAGGTCATTCTCCTCCTGGCTTTGTGCACTGTCCGTCTCACTGTCCAACACCACCTCAGTTACTTTCATGCTCTCCTCTGCTCCTTTGTTCCCCTCCTTCTTCTCCCTCACCAAGGACGTACCACTTCCCCCTGGTCTTGGTGGCTGGTCTACAGTCACCTCCATCTCCAGAGAGCCAGTCAGCGCCAGGGCCTCATATGCGTCCTCAGACGGAAGGGCCACTTGCACATCCGCAACCTAAGCAAGGAATACACCATTATTGGAGTTATAATTCTGTCTTTTATTTTTAATAAAATAACTAGAGATACCACAGAATAGAAATAACTGAAGTTAGTTATTTCACAATATCAACTGTTAATCCTTAAATACCCACCTGGGTGTTCTGTGGCTCCTCCCCATTTCCTCTGTGTGTCTGGACAGCAGACACGTTGCTTGCCCATGTCCTGAGGTGGTTGCAGCTCTGGCAGTGTTGGGTCACAGAGAGGCACGTCCTGTCTCCCTGCGTCTGGATCACACTCTCACGCATGCACTGCTCACACCACTGAAACAGCTGCAGCAGGCAGTCAATGTTCACTATAATATCTTCTGGGGAGGGAGGGGGGGCAGCAGCTTGTGGAGGGGGGGCAGCTAACCTGGGTCAAATACAAAAAAGAACGGGTGATTTCCTGCCACTATTGGCTCTTGCAAATTCATAAACATTAGCATATTTGGAAGAGACAGATGGAATGTTCCTCATTCCTTCACATCATCACGCAATCTTATCTTCTAGTAACATGCATTGACTAAATACACTACATGACCAAATGTGTGTGGACACCTGCTCGTTTAACATCTCATTCCAAAATCATGGGCATTAATATGGAGTTGGTCCCACGTTTGCTACTATAACAACCTTCACTCTTCTGGGAAGACTTTCCACTAGATGTTGGAACATTGCTGCAGGGTCTTGCTTCCATTCAACCACAAGCATTAGTGAGGTCAGGCACTGATGTTGGGCGATTAGGCCTGGCTCGCAGTCGGCGTTCCAATTCATCCCAAAGGTGTTCAATTGAGTTGAGGTCAGGGCTCTGTGCAGGCCAGTCAAGTTCTTCCACACCGATCGACAAACCATTTCTGTATGGACCTCGCTTTGTGCAAGGGGGCATTGTCATGCTGAAACAGGAAAGGGCCTTCCCCAAACTGTTACCATAAAGTTGGAAGCACGGAATCATCTTGAATGTCATTGTATGCTGTAGCATTAAGATTTCCCTTCACTGGAACTAAGGGGCCTAGCCCAAACCATGAAAAACAGCCCTACATTATTACTCCTATACCAAATGCACAGTTGGCACTATGCATTGGGGCAGGTAGCGTTCTCCTGGCATCGGCCAAACCCAGATTCATCCGTCGGACTGCCAGATGGTGAAGCGTGATTCATCACTCCAGAGAAGGCGTTTCCACTGCACCAGAGTCCAATGGCAGCAAGCTTTACACCACTCCAGCCGGCGTATGGCATTGCGTAGGGTGATCTTAGGCTTGTGTGCGGCTGCCTGGCCTTAGAAACCCATTTCATTAAGCTCCCGACGAACAGTTATTGTGCTGACGTTGCTTCCAGAGGCAGTTTGGAACTCAGTAGGGAGTGTTGCAACAGACGATTTTTACGCGCTACGCACTTCAGCACTCGTGGTCCCGTTCTTGTGTGGCCTACCACTTCGCGGCTGAGCTGTTGTTGCTCCTAGACATTTCCACTTCACAATAACAGCGCTTACAGTTGACCAGGGCAGCTCTAGCAGGGCAGAAATTTGACGAACTGACTTGTGGGAAAGGTGGCATCCTATGACAGCGCCACATTGAAAGTCACTGAGCTCTTCAGTAATGCCAATGAGTATCTATGGAGATTGCATGGCTGTGTGCTCGATTTTATAGACCTGTCAGCAACGGGTGTGGCCGAATTCACGAATTTGAAGGGGTGTCCACATACTTTTGTATATACAGTGCATTCGGAAAGTATTCAGACCCCTTGACTTTTTCCACTTTTGTTACGTTACAGCCTTATTCTAAAATTGATTAAATAACATCTAATCTACACACAATACCCCATAATGACAAAGCGAAAACAGGTTTTTAGACATTTTTGCAAATGTATTAAAAATAAAAAACCTACCTTATTTACTTAAGTATTCAGACCCTTTGCTATGAGACTCAAAATTGGGCTCAGGTGCATCCTGTTTCCATTGATCATCCCTGAGATGTTTCTACAACTTGATTGGAGTCCACCTGTGGTAAATTCAATTGATTGGACATGATTTGGAAAGGCACACACCTGTCTATATAAAGGTCCCACAGTTGACAGTGCATGTCAGAGCAAAAAACAAGCCATGAGGTCAAAGGAAGCCACGAGACAGGATTGTGTCTAGGCAAAGACCTGGGGAAGGGTACCAAAACATTTCTACATTGAAGGTCCTCAAGCATTGTGGTCCTCTGTAGCTCAGCTGGTAGAGCACAGCGCTTGTAACGCCAAGGTAGTGGGTTCGATCCCCGGGACCACCCATACACAAAAATGTATGCACGCATGACTTTGGATAAAAGCGTCTGCTAAATGGCATATTATTATTATATTAAGAACACAGTGGCCTCCGTCATTCTTAAATGGAAGAAGTTTGGAACCACCAAGACTCTTCCTAGAGCTGGCAACCCAGCCAAACTGAGTAATCGGGGGAGAAGGGCCTTGGTCAGGGAGGTGACCAAGAACCCAATGGTCACTCTGACATAGCTCCAGAGTTCCTCTGTGGAGATGGGAGAACCTTCCAGAAGGACAACCATCTCTGCAGCACTCCACCAATCAGGCCTTTATGGTAGAGTGACCAGACGAAAGCCACTCCTCAGCCCGCTTGGAGTTTGCCAAAAGGCACCTAAAGGACTCTCAGACCATAAGAAACAAGATTCTCTGGTCTGATGAAGCCAAGATTGAACTCTTTGGCCTGAATGCCAAGCGTCTGGAGAAAACCTGGCACCATCCCTACGGTGAAGCATGGTGGTGGCAGCATCATGCTGTGGGGATGTTTTTCAGCGGCAGGGACTGGGAAATCTTTCTGATTGAGAGGGGGTCAAATACTTATTTCCCTCATTAAAATGCAAATCAATTTATAACATTTTTGACATGCGTTTTTCTGGATTTTTTTGTTGTTATTCTGTCTCTCACTATTCAAATAAATCTACCATTAAAATTATAGACTGATCATTTCTTTGTCAGTGGGCAAACGTACAAAATCAGCAGGGGATCAAATACTTTTTTCCCTCACTGTATATCTGAGGAAGGGTATAAAACAATTTCTAGAGTGTTGAAAGTTTCCAAGAGCACAGTGGTCTCCATCATTGGGAAATTGAAAAAATATGGAACTACCCAGACTCTGCCTAGAGCTGGCCGTCTGACCAAACTGAGCAAGAAGGACCTTGGTCAGGGAGGTGACCAAGAACCTAATGACCACTCTGACAAAACTACAGAGTTCCTTGGCTGAGATGGGAGAACCTGCCAGAAAGACAACAGTTTCTATAGCACTTCACCAATCTGGGCTTTATGGGAGTGTGGCCAGACAGAAGTCACTCCTGAGAAAAAAGGCACATGACAGCACGCCTGGAGTTTTCAAAAAGGCACGTGAAAGACTGAGCATAAGGCAGAAGATTATGTGGTCTGATGAGACAAATGGATCACTTTGGGCTGAATGTAAAGCCCTATGTCTGGAGAAAACTAGGCACAGCTCATCACCTGCCTAACACCATCCCTACCGTGAAGCATGGTGGTGGCTGCATCATGCTATGGGGATGCTTTTCAGCAGCAGGGACTGGGAGACTGGTAAGGATAGCGGGAACAATGAATGGAGTGCAAATTACCTTAGACTTGGGTGAAGATTTACATTCCAACAGGACAATGACCCCAAGCATACAGCCAAAGCAACGCTGGAATTGCTTCAGAACAAGAATGTGAAAGTCCTTGAGTGGCCCAGCCAAAGCCCAGACTTGAATCCCATTGAAAATCTGTGGAAAGACTTGAAGATTGCTGTTCAAGTCGTCCCCATCTAACTTAACAAAGTTTGAGAAAATCTGCAAGGAAGAATGGGAGAAAATCCCCAAATCCAGATGTGCCAAGCTGATGCGGATATACCCAAGACGAGAAAGCTGTAATCGCCGCCAAAGGTGCTTCTACAAAGTATTGACTCGTGTGCGCATACTAATATAAATTATATATATATTTCTATTTTATTGTTAATACATTTGCAAAAATGTCTGAAAACATGTTTTCACTTTGTCATTATGGGGTATTGTTTGTAGATGGGTGAGAAAAAAAATCATTTTAATCCATTTTGAATTCAGGCTGTAACAACAAAATGTGGAATAATTCCAGGGTTATGAATACTTTCTGAAGGCACTAACTATGGATGGGATGAAAAAAGGTCAGTATTTGGTTATGAGCTAACAAAACTCCTTATTCCTGATGTTATGAAGGAGATGGCGGAGGACCAGGTGGATTTTGTAATGGCTTCTAGTGGTGGACCTTTTGTTTCAGATGGGGGTCAATTTAGGAAACTCTCAAACACCCAGGGTGTTCATAATAATGGGGATTTTAGATAAGGGGATAATTTCTTAACCCTAGAAAAAAGCAGGTCTTGCATCCTTACAGGTTTAACACTTGACTCATCAATAGCTCTCCAAGCAGCTTTGGATGTTGGGTCGAGGTCATATTCTCAATGACCTCAGTTGAAAGGCCCAGTAGTAATATTTGAAATGGGGAAGGGAAAGCCTTCCGGACAGTTTGGGCCGCTGCAGAGTAGGTTTATCGTATTGTGAGCTTCTTTACCTGCCATATAAATAATGTACATATTGTATCCAGATCTTTTTTAAATGCAGTGCAGAAAAAAGGGACATTTGCAGGTGGTAGGATGCTCATCTTAATTACAGACACTCTGCCTTGTAGAGTCACGTGCAGAGGGTCCCATCGAACTAGATCCTTCTTCATTTGGTCCAGAATGCCAGCATAATTGTTTTTGGTGGTGAGAAGACAGGTGCGATGTAAAGGTCCAGATATGTCAATCCAGAGAGCTCAAACTGAAGACGGAGTGTTGGGGGTCGTGGCGGCAGCCTAGCTGTATGATTTAAATCAGGGCTGCCCAACCATCTTCCTGGAGATCTACCATCCTGTGGGTTTCAGCCCAACCCTCTTCCTGGAGATCTACCATCCTGTGGGTTTCAGTCCAACCCTCTTCCTGGAGATCTACCATCCTGTGGGTTTCAGCCCAACCCTCTTCCTGGAGATCTACCATCCTGTGGGTTTCAGTCCAACCCTAATTTAATACACACCTGATTCTACTTATTAGCTGCTCAACGACTTTAACTAGCTGAATCAGATATGCTAAATTAGAGTTGGACTGAAAACCTACAGGACGGTAGATCTCCAGGAAGAGGGTTGGGCAGCCCTGATTTAAAGGCATCAAAACTTATTTTGTTCCATTTATTTTGTAACCAGAGAGGGCGCTGAAATGAAATACTTTCATAGCACTGGGTATTGAATTAGACACGTCTGAAATGTACAGCAGTACGTCGTCAGCATAGAGAGAGATGTGGGGTTGAGTTCCATTGCCAGAGATTGGTGATATA